TCCTCTCCCTTCCAAACAATAGCTAGCCTCCAGACAGTCAGTGGACATAAAGATGTTACTGTGATGTAGAGACAGAGCTCCGTTATAACTTTATGGATGAAAGATACTTTTGTTACAGATTAATTACTCACCGTTCTTAAACTCTATCTCCAGTCCATGTTTCTCAGCTGGTAAGGGGATGGATATACAGCTGAACTGAAGCCGTGTTTACGGGCTTCTCACTGACCTGCCCTTCTCTGCTTCTGCTTGGCTAGTAGTCCTTAACTAGGAACTGCGCAAGTCTAACTCCCAACAAAGATCATTAGAGACAAGATGTATCGCTACATGTGGAAAAAAAATCTATATTAGTACCACTTTTTCCATTGTGGTCTGTCGCAGAAATGCACTGCACTCATCAAAATTGATGATGTTGGTCCCAGTGTCACCATACAGTGTCGCTTTTTCAACAACCTAGATCCTAGACCTTACACATTCTTTACATGTTCACTTTGTGGGATGCTCCACGTATTAGGTCGTTAAGTTACTGTAGTTGAAGAGAGTCGAAACTGCAGTCCTCCCTCCTGAGGGCCCCTGTTCTGTGAGCCAATGGGGTTTGAGCATGAGTAATAGGGTTCCATTATATTTAGTAAGATATGTAAACGTTCACTTAGTCCACCAAAATCTGTTTATGAGGCGAGAAATAAGCAATCCAGTTGCTGAATCTTCACTCAGATCTTACGCCTATTATTTAAAAGTTTGTTTTGAGTTAGCGTGTTAGCTAACACTGGCATACAGTCTGTGGATTATACAGTCTATGGGTAGCTCATTGGCTGCCAGCGTCTAGCTTTCCAACAAATGCCGTTCTAATAAACCAGGTGTGGTCAGCAACTAGAACACTGTACTTTGTTTTTCATTTTCCTGAGTTGTTACCCAGTCAGCAATGATGTGTATAGGCCTATTCTGGATGTGAATCCTATTACAGCAAAGCATTACCTGCCCTACTCTTCTTCTGATTGGCTTAGCCGGACGATGACGTTTCTGACGTAGTCCTCCCTAAAAAACAAAACAAAAAAAAACAGGGAAATAAGCTCAAAATTGTTGTACCATAATAATTTCTTCTGAATGCAGTCCATTTGTTCACAGCAGCAACTCATTCATGAATAAATGTTTTTGTATGTTTATACCACCAGGGTCCATCTGGGTCATTTCACTGAACATTAGTAAGGTCTGATGAATCTATTGGCAGTCTACACATAAATCCTTGGAAGGGGTGATCTAGTGTTATTATGCTTAGTCATGGCTTACCGCCATTTCAAACACACACATTCGCCATAGTAGGATTTGCAAATTTGCATTCTAGACTTCATAGCCAGTAACATTGTATTGTGTATTTTGTTAAAACACGTATTTAGGACCGTTTTCATCAGACTCTGAAAACTCTTAGAAAACAACGCAAAGAATGGCCTTCTCATCAGCCAGAGTTGCATTACTTGCGTTACACAACAGGGTGTTCAACTTGACACTGTTTCCCGTTTAAATAACTGTTTTGTTATGTTTTGTCTGTGCTAAACATACTCCTGGTCTGAGGGGTCTGAGAAGAGAGGTCTGAAAAGGGTCTGAGGTGATGCAGTTGGATGCTTTTGCCTCGACAAACCAACACATTAAATACCTATATCATTATCAATAAAATCATTCAAAGTAATAATAATTATAGCTTTTATTTCATCACTTTATTAATTTAGATAATGACACTCAAATACACTACAATAAAACCAGTCAAACATAGTTACATAAAATAAATAAATACAAAATACATATGCAGGGGAGTATACTCACACTGACTTCACTGGTCGGATGTGTCTGACTAGAAGGTCACTCATATGTTATGTATCCTGGTATTTCACATACAAATTTTTAAATCTTACAGTTTTGTCTTGATTTCAACACTATCTTTTGCTTCTTCAAGACTACATTTTACTGTGTGAAACCATTTGAGACTTACGTACTACAAATTGATTGTGGGATTATGGCCTTGTGTCATCCTTCATGTAAAATTTGAAGTTAAATGTTCTGCTCGCTGTGATGAATCTTGATGCTAACAAATCATTGACGATTAGGAATCTTCCAAATACGGTCAAATTGTCCTGCCTGTGGAGAGTTGTGGGCCTTATCATGTACCTGACCACGTCTGTGTGCCCTCCTTTTTGTGATAGTCTCTGGAAGTCTTTGCGGGAACCGCTTTTTTGAAAAATGTTCCTTCGGCGTAATAGTTAGTTGAGCCTCGTGTAATAGTCCGTGTTTAAATGTTCTCTTCTCATTGTAATATTTGGCAGAAGCTCGTGTAATAGTTCGTGTTTTGTGTGTGAGCAGGCTCTCAGGTAACAGAGGCCCTGCATATGAAATGAGATGGTAATGAGGAGGAAGAGGGGAGCCTTATCACTACAGGGCCAAATTCCGACAGTGAATTGCGCAGTTGTAACAAAAGTAACAGAGCGTCCATTCAGCCTGCACTAATCCAGATGGGAAAGTCAAACAGCAGAAAGTCCACGGCACAAACTCATTTCATCACTTTATTAATTTAGATATTGCCTCCTCGCTCCTGTGGGGAGGGAAAAAAGAGCCCCTCTGAAATGACCAACATCGGTGAGGCGTTTTGCTCTACATGGTTCCCCCACTTCGTCTCCTCCCGTTATCTGTTTAATTCATCCCGCCAATCTTGGCTGTCTTTACCCACTAAATTTCCCTTTGACACGCATGCCTTGCTTCGCATAATCCTCACTCCGGGGCAGAATTAAAAATGGAAAAAAGAGGAGGGAATAGGACAGGTGGCTGGAGAATCCTTGAAATAATGTTCAATGCCAGACCCAGGAATGATTTGACCAGATTCGAACTTGGGGGCTGATAGGGAGAGAGTTTTTTCTCCCTTTATTTTTGGAATCAAGGGGTAAGAAAAGGGTGACAGGTGGAAAATGTGCAGAGACTGCGAAGTCCCTTTAGAGCCAGGTCGAAGAGTCAGTTCTAAATTGTGGTGCCAGAATGACTTCGGGGGAAAACTGTGGAAAGGAAGATGAAAATGTCAAAATGTCACTCTCTGGAGGCCTGATTTGAAAAGTTTTTTTCTGTCTACTTGAAGACTAAAAATTAGAACAGGCCCCTTTCCTTCCCCCCTTCTGCCTATATCTGTTATTGACCTGTATGTATTGTCTCTTTGCCATGATTGTGGCAGATATGTTATCTTTACATAGCCATTTGTAGCAGTTGAAAACCCCTCCTCCGCTGTTATCTGACCAATCAGCGCTGACATGCTTTGTCAGAGCTTGATATTTCAAGCTTCAGTTCTTTGGGTAGCGATGTCATATCAACAACAGATGAAATGGGTTATTTTACACATGAAAAGTGTATATTTATGATATGATCAGTATAACTGCAGTGAAGCAGCGCTGAAGACTGCCTGCATGTTATAGTATACTGTAATACAGAGTGAACAGCCATGCTAACAGCTCTGTGAGGTTGCTTAAAGACATCGTGAGCAATGTACAATCCAAAGTCAAGTTCCTCGTACATGTACACATACCTGGCGAATAAAACTGATTGTGAAAATGCTCACAATGACAATGTTGAACGCTGATAATCAGCAAGTAATGTTTCCCATGTTTATCATGGGCTAACATTTGTTAATTAGCACTGTGTGTATCTTTACTGCTACTATCAAATACAAGTTATCTAAATTAACCTTCATTAACATATTTGTTTGTACTTTATAGCAACCAATCAATCACTACTGAGAAATTTTACTGAAAAAACACAAATGTCAACCTCGCGGCGGCACCAAAGTCAATAAGCGTCATCCCCTGTCCACTAAGAAAGCATCTTCTGCCAATCTATTCGGATATTTTATTTATAGTCAAATATCAGATATTGAAATTTAACGTAGTATTGAATATAATAGAGAGAAACCGATGGCACATAGGGGCCCAGTGATTTAAGTCTTGCCCAGATCAGGAGTAAAACTGAGACAGCGAGTGTTTCCTGGTGCAGGGTGGGCTGATCTACAGTGTGTTGGCTGCATGTAGGGGCAGGCAGCGCGGTGCGGCGAGGACGGCAGCAGGCGCACGGCACTATTGATTGGGCTCCGCAGGCTGAGACCAGCCAATTCAGAGCACCAGTGAGCCGAGACCGATTGGGCCTCCTGAGTTACAAAATCCCACCAGCTCTTCTTCTCTCATCTGCCAAAAAAAGTGTATTTCTCATTCCCCAGGCAAATGTTTTCATAGAGAAAGTTTGAAATTTGGGTTGGAGAAAGAACGGAGGAAGACAATATTATAAATGTTTTAGCTTGAGTCACTGTTATTGTGATCATAAAAATCCCCCATGTCGTTGTAATAGAGCCATTCAAAACTTGAGCTTTTTGTTGAGCAGCACAAATTAAGTCTAACTTGATCAATTTCAGCTGCCTTATGTAGACTATAGATTAGACTATTGGAAAACAAATGATAGAAATTTATGCTGGCATTGAGGGTTACACTTTAAAGCCGCACTGTTCGATTTTCTTGATGTTAACATTTCACCAAATTCTGCAGTCTTCCTTATTTCTTTGGTTTCTTTTGGCATCTATTAACACATTACTTTGGTTTTACTGCCCGCAAACTGTCTACAACTTTGCTCAACAGAAGCTGGTGGCTGTTTTCAGTGAAAAAGCTCTGATAACCTGGTGCCACAAACAAACGTAGCTAATGACGAGCAAGAGAGTCAAACTTTAATCCCTAAAATGAATGCTGACATATTAATGGATACTCCATGTCTGCATGAGCTGTAAATAGGCAGTTATTTGCTAAAATGTTAGCTAAAATGCCTTCATAACACTATAATATGTCAATGTTTTTAGCATCTCCTGCTGCACACAAGTGGCCAAAAATCAATGAATACAGCTTTTAAAACCAGCAGTTCAAATCGTTAAACTGTTAGACTTCAGTTTGTCTCGTTCTAAAGTTTTATGAGCATGAATTTTTGTATTTCTTCAGGTATGGTAAGCTGTTGCCCTCCCTCCAAACCAGGCAGTTTTCGGCAGCTACAGGGCTGAGCCGCATTTTGATTATCCTTGGGGCCATCGAACCAACTATTAAAGGAGAAAATGTCTCAGAGGAGGTCATCCAGCGCCAGGTCGGGCTAATGTGCACCCACACACACACACACACGATGCATACGATGAAAGGCTATGAGACAAAAAAATAAAAACTAAAGAATAAAGCTGCAGAAATCTTTTTTTTTTAAATTGACACAGCAGGTCAGGGGTGATTTAGTGTTGAATATAACATACGTCATCAGGGTAGGAAGGTGTTATCCTGCCATATACTTAGCCTCTGTTCCTCTGCTCAGACTGCTCAGCTTTTGTTAACCTGGTTAGAAATGTGGAGGACAAAACGGCACGTTTCAGGCACTTTAAATTTACTCCTCCCATCTTTGCTATACAGCCACAGGATGGTGCTAGTGTGAGCAAAATCATTTCTCCTCCTCAGCCGAGATAGGAGTGGATGTCGATTGCAGAAGTGTTTGTCTTCATATCGTCAGAGACTGTGAATTTGGCATGATATGACACCAGATGTCATTTTAGAAGAAATGAAAATTGAACCCGTTCCTGGAGCTGACGTGACGCTGCTATTGCTCTATATCTTCTGATGCCTCCTATATTGTAAACTCAGCCTTTTGACAGGTAGAAAGGAGCTGAAAAAGCTGTTAATATAACCGACAAGCTTTTTGCTGTGTATTAGAGATGAAGTTTTACTACAGGGCAGGGTTTTTTATTTTACACTTGTCCATACTCAGATCTGCTGTGACTCTATACAAAACAACCCACACATCCAGTAGTGACACTGCCTGTCATGAAGTCCTGTAGTCATTTTTTACTTGCTATGAAAAACATCTAAGGCAGAGGAATAGTAATGGATTCTGGTGATGAACAACAACCAATATCTTTGGTAACATGGAATAATGCTCTCTATAGACTGACACCTTATTATAGCAGGGAAACAAACATTCATGTTAGGTGCATTAGGGGCATAGAGAAAGAGAGATTATTTCAGGAAAGGTAATTTAGTAGCCGTTTATTGCATTTAAACCATACAGTCCTCCTTCATATTCTTTTATTTTTTTTGTTTGGAGAAACAGCTTACACTTTATTGACCCTCTGTGAACGCTCAGTGACATTTATAACATCCGTTCAGCATAAAATGCCTGTGTATGATGCGACAACGCCTGCTCTGGGATAAATGCAGTTCGTTAAGACGCCTTGTTCTCTGCTGCCAGCCACCCACGATTTGATGGCAGCAGTGATGAGGGACCTATTTCAGCTTTTCAAGTATTGCAGTTGTTGCCAAGGAGATAAGGACATCATTGTGCTTGAATTCTCCAAGGACAGAGAAAGGTTTTGTAGACAGGCTAGTGAAGGTTACAACATGCACAGACTTTCACAAGCTTGCCGGACTCAATAGAGCATGCAGTCCATTTCTCAAGGGCATGTTCTGTAACCACTGCTTAATTGAACTGGAGCAGAATTGTTTGCAGCTATGTTAACGGCACCAAAGCTATCTAGTCTCATCACATGTGGGCGATAGACACAGTTAAAGGGGAATTCTGCTCAATTTGAGAATTCACATATATTTCTGGTAGCGTGGTGAACTTTCCCTGCCCTCAGCAGGAGACTCAGAGAACCAAGACTGAGATTTACAACGTCATATCAGTATTCTGTCTGGAGCTGACTTCACTGCATTCAAAGTGACTTACTATAGTAATAGTTGAAGTTAATTTCCCCATCTTTTCCAAATCATCTTGGAAATGTAAAGTTTGGATGGGACTAAGAAGTTAAGAGTATTACATTTTTTTTGGCACTGGCAATCAGAGTTTGATCCTACGGTTCTAAATAAGGTTGAGCAATGGAAAGATGCTGCTGACAATAAATACACACTGTTTAAATATTGTGTCTGTTTTCTCTGTCTCTTACAGAAATACCTACTAAGTAACCCTGCCCACCAGAGCAGTGCTGTGGATGAGCATTACTTTTTAAATGAAAGTGCGGCTCAAGTTAGGTATGCCATTATTTGCTTTCTGGGTCTGCTATTTGCATATTTGATGTAGGCAAAATGAACATTGAAGTATTAAGGAAAATGAGTATATACATTTTTTTGGTTGTTTTTAAAGGGATATCACAAAGTTTAAGCCCCTCTCCGGCAGGACGTCAGTGAGTGTGATCACCGGGGATTCCTTTGACCAGCAAATACCAGAACACCTAAACCAGGTGAGAATTTTTCCTATAGCTGCAAAACTCCATGATGCATTATTAACGCTTGTACAGTGGCTGAACAATACTGTAGAAATGGCTGTGTAAAACCCATAGTAAATCATCTTTTCTCTGCACCAGATGGTTGCTAAGCTTCAAAAGAAGTTTCTGGAGGAGTCCTACCCGTCAGCCAATCACATTCACATAAAAGGAGCAGACCGGCGAATGATCTACAAGAAGCCATCTGCCATCAGCAAGCACCTGAGGAAGCTAGTCAATCAACGACAAGCAAAACAGCAGAGCGAGTGACCCGTGGCCAACATGTAACTATACCCCAGACTTGTACAGAGTAATTGTTGAATATGTTTTAAATATTCAATAAAATATTCAAGTTATCTTTTTTACCGTTCCCTGCAGCAATCTGTAGAGATTGTCTATATACCTGATAAGGTTCATCAAGAAGTCAGTTTTTTAACATATCTTTGCACAGCTCTGCCTTATTGGATTTTTTTTTAATTGAAACTAACTAGAGGGTATTCAGTGATGAAATATTTGCTGTCTTAGATTCAGAAAATCTAATCTTTCAAGTTATTTCAGTCTCTTTACCTGATTGGCCAGTGCCAAAAATTAACACATTGCTCCTTATCAATGGAAAGGCCACACACATCATTGCTTAACCTGATACTTCTTATCTACTTCTGTCTTAATATTCTAACATGTTATAGCCACAGAGGAAAGGCATACTGAGTTCCTCCTTCTCTGTTGCATCAGCTTCTGTCATTTGTTACTTGCATATAATTGAGTTACATCACAACCAGACGTGGACCTGAACCTATTTTTAGACTTCCATTGATGGATTCATTTTATAATTTGTAAACAGAGGATTCTGGTCTGCAAAGCTAATTTGGCTTTTTTTTTTTTTTGTAAATACATCTTTATGTATTTTTGCGTCTGCTTTTAACTGCACTGTGCTTAATTCTGTGGAAAACATTACATACAGGAGTGTGAAAGAACGACCAGACAACGGTGGTTTATCCTGAGGATTTAAGTTTTTAATTATGACACCACATCAAAATAAAAATTTCCAACAGATCTGGAATTTAATTCCATCCATATACATGCATAGCAACAACGTTTTAAGAAACATTTTCTCCCATAATCAGGACATTGGAATGATCATTTTACATCAGTATCCCCACTGACCTCCCACCCATTTTGTTCATCAGCAATAAACGTAATTCTTGTACAACTTCTTTTTTTCCCTATGGGGTTACAAATAATTATATGCACAGTCCCCATTTCATAATACTGCTTTCAGTAATGTTCCCTAATTTACAAAGTATTGCATTGAGAGCAAATTTCAAAAAGGGAGACCAAAGTGTATCATCAAACAGAAATACGAGTACTATACAAGAATGCTGCCATCCTCATGAAAACATCCACATCTGAGTTGAAGAAAAGAGACAGGGACAAACAGCCACATATGTATGCAAAGCCATGTGTATATGCCAAAATGTGAGATGCAGGGTTGTGCCTGGTTATCACCCCCAAATGGAGATTTTTTTTAAGGCAAACAAGTCATTAGTAGCAATCTGCATGTGACATTTTGGGCATATACAGAAACTGGTACAGCAAATAAGAATACACAAGTGCCTCAGTAGCTATTTTTGTGTCTAAAATGCATCTCATTTTTGTATTGTCTATTGTTTCATTGAGCCTACATTACAGTGTAAACAATATGTGTGCTACACAAGAATGACTATACAATAACATTACAAACAACTCTGATATAAATTTCATTTTGAATTTAAATTAAGATCACTACCCCTATTAATACTGATTGTAAAATAAATTAATGTGAAAGTGGCACCAATATTATTCTTGATTCATTTTTCTTTTCTTTTTCTTTTTTAACCAATGGTTTTGCATTTTTAAGTCTTAAAACGATGAAAGAAGAAGCTTCTCTTGATTGTCCACAAGCAGCATTTAGCACTGCGTGATGCACTATTCCAGACACAACAGTGTACCAAAACAAAGGAGAAAAAAGGGGGAAAAGTTGGGGAACGGGGGGGTGGGTTTGGGTGGGAGAAGAAGAACGTGTCTTAATCTTCTCAACTTATTTTACATGCTCTGCAGCATGTGATGAACAGTAAAACTTCTTATGGGTAATAAAGTTTGAAAGGTTGTTGAACTGGATGTCACAGAGGCGGCAGTACTTGCCACTTCCAGAGCCGTTCACACCTTTGTTGGCTGTGGGTGCTGCCTCATCGTTTGGAGACTTTGAGGAAGGCGACATGTTCTCGTTGGAGTCGGCCTGGTTCTCGGTGGCCCACGTAGGTGAGGGATTGGGAGGTTGGCCGTCTGGCTGGGGCTGGTTCTCCTGCTGTGGTGGAGCTATGCCTGAACGGTCCTCTGGCTTGTGCCCCCCGTTGACGATGACCATGCCCCGGTTTTTGGGCAGTAGGGGAAGGGGCTCCTTGCCAGGATGGGGGCAGCCATTAGCAGCAGGCTGCTGGGCCTGCTCTCTGGTTGTTCCTGTCTCTCCCCCTCCTCCTGCACCTCCTCCTCCCCCATTAACGCTCTGCTCCTGTTCGCTGGCCTCTCCCTGCATCACTGCTCCCCCGGTCACATAATCGGTTGGTTTTATCCCAAAATACGGCGATATTTGCTCAGGACCTTTAACCTTCTTTATTGCTCCGGGATAAAGGCAGTGGGGTAGAAACATATTCTTGTTCTCATCTTTTGATGGGATGAGTTGGGGCTCAGCAAAAGGCTTGAGTCCCGAAACAGGCCCCAGGTGAGGGGGGAACATGCCTCCATTCTGCACCATTACTTTCCCATTGCCATTCTTCTCACATTTGCCTGGGCTCTTATCATACACGTCATCAGGGTTGCCGTCACTCTTCATATCTGGGAACATGGTCGTCTCCAGGCTACCAGTCTCACTGTGTTGTTGCTGCGGTTGTGGCTGTTGCTGAGCGGCAGCAGCAGCAGCGGCGGCGGCTGTTGCAGGGCAAAAGTTCTGTTTGTGCGCCAGGTAGTTCTCCACTTTGTTAAAACTTATCTTGCACACAGCACATTCGTGATAGTCCAACAGTCTTTTGGGGGAGCTACATGTCTTGTCAGGGACTGGCGAACACTTTTTGCTGAGATCAATGGGAGCATCTAGCTCCTGCTGCTCCACTGTATTGCATTTGGGAGCCAGAATAGGTTTAGTGACAGTCAGAGAGGCCTCCAGGTGTTTGGGTACCATACCTGGGAAGATGTCACAGCGGGGGTGGAAGCGGTCTGCTAGGCTCTCTACAGCTTCCTGGGATGTACAAGGGTTCATTGGCGGAACCCCGAGGAAACCAGGCTGACCCATAGGGGGCCTCTGGTGGTCCTGGTCAGGGAGACACATCTCATACATCTTCCTGCGCTTGCGGGTCCGCATGGTTCTCTGCATGGAGGGTACCTTGTTGGTGGACATGCGTTTCATGGGTGGGTCGTGACGGGTGGCACAGTAGTACTGCTTGTGGACCATGTAGGTCTCGTGACGGCTGAAGGTGATATTGCAGGCATCACAGGTTGTCTTGTTTGGGTCATTGTCACTTTCCACCAAACCCGTACTGGGGCTTTTCCCCTCCATCTGCTTGCCATTCTGCCTCTCCTCTGCCCCAGTTGGGGTAGAGACCTTCTTCACCTGTCCTGCTAGATCCTTATCAGGTCCTTTAGCCCCAGCATTGATCATGTCCAACACACTGGAGTTCAGACAGGCAGACTGCATGAGGTGGTTGTCAGCCTCTGTAGGGTGGCAGCCGGCCAACATGCTAACAGAACTGTGACCACTGTTGGGGCTCACCGCCTCAGGGACCTTATCTGAGAGGGCAGAGAAGTCAGGGGACTTTGCCATGTGTTGCCAGCGGCTGTTACAGTAGTGCTTTTTGTGGACCAAATAGTTGTCCAGGTTGCTGAAGGTGATATTGCATTCGAAACAGGTGGCCCCTTTGGGCATAAGAGGACTGTAGATGACAGGGGGATAGCTGTTCCCTCCATGGCGCAGCCTCCGGTGAACTAGCTCTGACATTTTAGCCAGAATCTCAGAAGCCTGCGGGACTACAGAAATGTCTTGGGAGAAAGCAAACTGAGACAAGAAGGGGCCCATGGGAAATGTAGGCATGTTATGCTGCACAGGGGAGGAGGCCAGCCGGGGGCTTGAGGGCTCAGACTTGATCCTAGTGTAAGAAAAACTGGCTTTGCTTCCTGGGTGGGCCTCTCCCTTCTGAACAGACAGCATGGGCTTCTTCTCAGCCTTGTCAGCCTCTCCGTCTGTGCTGGTCTCCTTGTTGAGGGCCCCTTTGGGACTTCCCAGTAGAGCATCCTTCCTGTTGGCCAGCTCAGTGCGGGCCTGCTGCTGCTGCTGGAGGCTTTCCTCAGGCCCCCTGGGGGAATGCTCGGTGCCGTCGCCTTCCCTGTGAAGTTTGCTGCCGTGCCCATGTAAGTCCTGATGCTGTAAGAGTTCCCTGTGGCTCTGGAAGCTGATATGGCAGTGATTGCATCTGAAGGCCGCCTGTGACAGGTGAGACATGATGTGATGCTGGAATGTAATAAGAGAATCTGCCGTGTAGTTACAGATTGTGCATTTCAAGCTGGTGCCAGGAGGGAGGCTCTCTTCCATTTTGACACCTGTGAAGGAGATAAAAGGGAGAAATGCTCAGAATCTCGCCTCCCACTTCTCCTTTAGAGTTAACTGTAGAAACCATCAAACACTCATGCATTATGCCAAGCCTATTGCCATCCACTAGATTTTTTTCTCAATGATAAACTGTCAACTATGCTAGCTGACAGCAGGGTATGTATATTTCTGAAAAGAAATGACAGTCATTTTTCCAAACCTGTGTAAAACTAAAAAACTGTCATTTTTTTCTAAAGCACTTTTAGGACCCCTCTTTCTTTAATAAAAGGGGACTGAAAGTAGCCATCTTCAAGCTGTTATATATATATATATATTTCTTTTGTGGTAAAAATCTAGTTTCTAATCTACCAAAAACTCTTTGATTCATGGCATTGTCACTCACCACTGTGTGAGGTGCTCAGGTGCATTTCCAGGGCCCTGGCTCCGGAGAAGCTCTTGTTGCACTGTGGGAAGGGGCAGATACTGGGGGTCTGATGGGGACCAGTGTCGTTTTCCTCCAAAACCGTCTCTGGCTCCCTCTGTCGCCCACTGCAATAGTACATCAGATGGGCCTGCAGGTTCCTTTCGCTCCGAAACCAGATTCCACATGCCTTGCAGGGGAAGATGTCCTCTGGAGGGACACGGAAAGGGACAAAGGGGACATGGTATCAGCATACACTACTTACATATTTTTATTCACAAGTATAAAGATAAAGAGCTTGCACACATGCATACAAACATATTCCTCTTCTTCTACAGTTTTGACTCTCAAAGCCTGTGTTAAAAGGCTTTTCGACCAAATCCTCAGCTGCTGCATATCGCTGTGTTGCTACCACTGGGTTGGTGCCCTTTCTCAAGGGCAAACAAGAACACTGGACCATCTGCTTACAGAAGCCTCCCTGTTGAGCTGAACCCAGATAGCCCTCGCTAAGTAAACAAACACACTATTTGCATGAGGCGTGTATTTCGCAATTAACACGTTAGTTTGAGTCTCAGTGTGTTTATGTGAACCCAAAACTTGAAGGTCGATGGCTCTTATCTCCAGTGCAGAGACTCATCTGGGTTAATCTACGCCCGGCGGAGACGACGCTCCTTGTTAAGCAGGTGACTGAGTGCAGGCTGTGGACTGGTGTGTGTGTGTGTGTGTGTGTGTGTGTGTGTGCGCGCGAGTGAGAGAGAGAGAACAAGAGCACGCGTGTGTGATTGTGCATGTCTAAACAAAGGCACGTCTCGTTCCAGCTCTGTGTACGTGCACTCGTGTTGGTGCGCGGGCACTCACTGTTGACGATGGCAGTGGGCAGGATGGAAGCCATTGCGGCCTGCTGCGGCAGCAGCTGGATGCTGTCCAGCAGCCTGGCTGGGTACATGCCCTCACTCAGAGACATGTGGTTCATTGCCTGCAGACGCGAGTCAAAGTCCACCGCAAACGCCACCAGCTCCTCGCCCTCCATCATGTTCTTGGTGGTGGTGCACCACAGCTGGCCACCTGGACAAAACAGAGATAGAGGAGACATTTAAATACTTATTCCGAGACAAGAGAAAGTTTTGCTGCGTGTACACGTGAGTAAGTCTGGACTTATCATGTCAAGTCATTATGCAACATAAGAAATTACATTTGTGTACAACATCTCAAAGAGTAACAGTGTGTAATTGATGCATTGTTCAAAAGTATAAAACTGTTTCTTCCATGTAATTGAGAAAGGCTTCCAATAGTACCAAATGGTCAGTACACCAGTATAAAAAAAAAACAAACAATTTTCTCACTTTTGCTGCCACCCTGAAACAACAAAGGTGAATTGAATTTCGTTTGTTGAAAATTGAGAAATTACACTTTCAGCAGCCAAAATCCAAAATCAGTGCCCACATTACTCTGGATAATTGACAGAGGATGCCATCAACAGTTTTCATAAGCACTACTTTTTCTGTTCTGATAAAAACTGTTCACGATGAGGTCAATTTTCTCAGCAATTTTCAATTCTATGAGCACTAAAAATGAAATTCCATTCGCCTTTGTTGTTTTTGGTTGGAGAATCTCAGAAACAGATATCTAAAAACCTGGTCAAATAAAACAAAACTATACAACTAAAGGTGCATGAGAAAGTATGATTTGTAAACAAACCTTTTAAAAGGTGTTTTCTTTCTTTTTACTGTCACTCATATGTCTTTCTAGGCTACTGGCGCTCCTATCCAGAAACAAGGCAAACCTCAGCTGTGGTAAACTGTAGCCTACAGTGCTGTTGTCAGCTGGAACATTGAGACAGGTCCTCCACATTATTAGATTGTTGTGTTTTGGGATTAAGCATTCCTCTGAAATCTTCTGAACATATTCATTAAGTCAGAGAAAGGGGGGAGGGGGCAGGAGGAAGACAGGGGGGGGGTAGAGGGAGAGAGTGAAGGTTTTAGCTTAGATAATATTTATCTCAGCACATGACAGGCTTTTCAGCTGCACTTCATTTTCCATTGAAGAGATTAAAGTTTTTAATATGACTATTTACAGAAATCTGGCTGAGGAGATAACAACAAACTATGATATGTGCCTGCTAAATGGCAGAATTAGGACATTGTTTCTGAGGAAAGCTGGACAATTAATTAAAGCACGCTGTTAGCTTTCAAAGATGTGCAAACATACCGACGGAGTGTCAGGCTGAGAGGGGACATGTGATTTGAGCCCTGGCTGATGTGGAATAAAGAGAGTCCCGAGGAGAGGTGTGAAGGCAGGGGGGACGCAGCTAGAAAAGCCCCCACACACGCCGAACACTGATTACTCATGTTTACACAAAACCTATGAATCACCAGGTTCAAAATCGCCCTGTAGACACGGTGAAGGTGCTTGAGTAAGGCTCTGTTTGAAAACAATCCACTTTTCTGTGGATTTATTGGAAATTGAAAAACTAGGGGATGGAAACAGATCCACCATGAACTTACACTATGCCAAGCATTATGTATAAATCATTGTTAGGTTTCTAGAATGAATTGCCCCATTATTTCAATGCAAAATTGAATATTTCAGATTTCACATCGCTGTTTTGATTAAAACCTTTCTAGCCCTTCCTATCTGCTGGTGAGGCACTGAAAATTAGACGAGCACAAATGTGTCAAAGGAGTGAAATAGTATTAAAATATGCTATCTTTCAAAGTCCCATTTGTGTGCAGGCCTCCTCCCCATGAGTGTGGGTATGTGGCTGCGCGTGCATGTCAGCGCCACTTTAAAGAGCAGCGCCTATCTGTCGGCCAATCTGCTGTGACGAGACACACACTTCAGGCCGCTCCACTTCATCGTTTTGATTCTGTCATACCACACACTGCCTGGAGAGGCCCTTTGAATTTTTATCTCCTAATTAAAATAACAAAACTCCTCTCCACTGTCTGCCCAAGTTACCATCAAGGTAGATACAAACTGCCACTGACAATGGCGGGGAATATATATCGCAGTCATAGCCACAAAAGTTTCTCTCCTCTGAATGGATCTTTTAGTTCAGACGCGCTCAGTTTACAAAGAGAATTATGAACCAGGCCCTGATGCTGAGATACAAATCAGTGTTTTTTTGGATCAATCCAAATCAAATATACTGTATGCTCTCCTCAGCTGAAATGAAGTAGATTTTGTACAGTCTGATGAAAATGTTTTACTGCATTTTGACAGCGGAATATGCACTCAGATTGCATCCCTTCAGCCAAGAATGCTACAGATCCATCTGTTGTGTGCGAGAATGCTGGAAGTGAGTTTCAGGACTGCATGTCCTAGTTTTACTGAGCTACCAAAACACTGAGGCAATACGTGTTACAGTCACTCAACCAAGACAAGGTAGAAAGATACATGTGCTCTGGCTGCAGGATTATGGTTTAAACTGCACTTACCATTGAAATCAGAGCTGTTTCTCTCAGATTTGTGACATTTTTACTGCAATTTCCTGTATTTTTGTTTCTGAAATGCATCATGATCCTAGCTCTGTATCTTCATATCAGTATTTCTGATTACCTGTACAGCCATAAGTTTGCACACACTCAAATGCAAGTGCACATGCACGCCTGCAGTGCATGTATGTAATGCATACAAACTACTGTGCAGGAACATGTCATTTTCATGCACATATGGAGATGCAAGGCATAGAAAATAGTCAGTACAGAGGCATCAGGTGGCTACAGACAAAATCAATATCCCATGAAGGAGCTCTGTCGAAAGTCATGGCTGTTTCCCTCTGACAGTCTTTTAATGACAGGTGATTTAAAATCATAGAAACACAGGTGAGCCACCTATGACAATGGCATGATCCACATGAATGAGGAAGTGTGGAGGGGAGTGGGTCGGGGGGGGGGGGTCAACAGTTTGAGCGAAAGACCAAACCCGTAAGTCGTGAAACTGGGGGAAAAGGCTGGGAAAAGTGCAGCTTGTGATTTGCACTTGTTTGCCTGCTAACTGTCTGCAGTGAGCTGCCTTTGTGCAGTGGCCAATGCAGTTGGAATGAAGGCTATTGTCTAAATCCTCCTGCAGAGCACCTGATAAAAGAATAAAGAACTATGACATATTCTAAAAACAATGGAGGAATTAAGCGGAGACAATAGGCCAGCTGCCTCATTAAAACAATCAAAAACGGCATCCTGTACGTAGTCCAGATAATTAAAAACCACTGCTTCCTACAGTCTCTCAATACCATATCCACCAGCTCACTGAGGCCCTGAGACTATGGCTCTGCTGGCTAAATGCCCTCTTCTCTCTCTTCCCTTTGATTAATGTTTTATTTGAACATGCAGTTGAAGATGAACATATGAAGGAATTCATGAAACAATATTATAATGCAAACCCTTTCCCCCTATAAGTACTTATAAACTAATCAAATGTCTCAGGATGAATCGCAGGGACTCAGGGCGTGTGTCCCCTCCCCTTTGCCTAAAGCCCCGAGAGATTTCAAAGTGCAGGCATCACAGGGCATTTTTTAATTTTCTCACTTTAAATGACTTTATAAGAAAATGGATGTGTACAGTATCTGTATATGTATGGGGAAGGCAGGGAGAATAGAGTATGAGATACTTGAGCAGGAATACATTTTTTTCCTTTTGCTCCCTGCAAACGGCTACCACCACCATATCTTAATGAAGCCGCAAACAAATCTCTCATGCCTCGTGCAAAAGCTGAGAGACAACAAAGCAGCAGAAATAACAGAAGGGCCCGGATAATTAAACTGGCCTGAAGACAGGTATTCAAATGTTGGTGTGTAAACAGCACAACTCTTTAATAGTTTAGCTGTAAAATGCGTAGTTAAGCACATCAGCACTTGCCTCTCCCATCTGTCCAAACACATTACCGTTGCAGAGGCCATTACAGCACTGGGGTACAGTCCCACTGCACCACAGCCACGTATTATGGGAGGGGTTGAATGGGGCTCCTGGGAAAACTAACAGTGGCCCATTGGCATTACCTGCATGTATCATGGGGTCATGTATAATAAAGCATCACGGTGCACTTTAAGAAATGGGAGAGGATGATAAAAAGTTCCGCACTCATATAGTGCATGCTTGGTGACCACGGTATACATTTTAAAGAGCAAAGGTTTCGAATCTTTTTTGTCATGTTTAATGTGTTAGTCAAATTTTCCTTTGTGAAGCCTGATTTGTTCTTTCTTTCCTTTGGTTTGGTGACTCTGCCCCTTAAAGTTCTCGTCACTGTCTATTGGCTCTGCGCTAACAGCCGTTCTTAATTGTGAAGAGAGGCTAGCGGTGCCTGAAGCTAGAGAGAGGGTTGTAATTAAAGACCTCTACTCTCCTTGTCTTCAAATCAGCTCCAGCCCCTCCTGGTCAAATGGGAACAAGCTCCTCGCACCTACGAATATCAAGTAGCTGCATGTTGTTAACCACCACTTCTTTCTTTAACAGTGCTTTATCATAGGAGGAGTAAATGACAGTGCCACACACAAAACAACTTCCCAGTCAACTTCCCTGGATCTTGTGAAAATATTTATCACAACTCAGGGATGAATAATATCTGTATCTGCACCTGACAGCAGACGGTGCTGCAGCAAACACTAAACAAATGCTCCTCATGAATACTGGTAAATATTTGGATGTTTCTGGATCATCAGAGTTGAACACATTAGGATGACTCATGGCTGTCAACCCGGCCGTCACAATCCCCAGCCCCGAGCAGGCCGCAGAAAGGAAAACGCTGAGTTAGACCCGATTGGGAACATCATTCACAGGGTCAAAACAAGCTTACTATTATTGACGGTACACTAAACTAGAATTAGCTGACTCTACTATTATTTCACTAAGGCACTGACACAGATTGACTCTCTCCTTCTCTATCTCTCCTTCACTCTCTTCCACCTCCTCCTTCTCATGTTTTGTCTTGGCCACTAGGAGGCACTCTTCTCATGCAGAAGCTGCTGGTGGATGTTGTTGCTGCGATGATGCAGACACCTCAGACATGGCAGAGCAGCGTAGACGCCAGTCTGCCTATACATCTTTGCAGGTAGGTGCCAAAGATCTTACTCTTGTGAGAAATGTATTTGGATCAAAAGGCATTCTTCTGACCTTATTTTTGACTGAAAATTACATTGTGTAAGCCTAAACGTGGAACTAAAATGTTCTGTGATGTTTTTATGTTTAATAATCTTTTGTCTGTTGCTGCCGCATTTCTGTAATGACAGTAATCAAGCATGCCAGAATGCTTTTGTCACTTTTTAACACATTTAAAATTTTACTTCTAAAATCTTGAAATTATAGAAGGAAAAAACAATCACCTATTTTCCATGGAAATTAATACTGTTCAGTAAATATGTGTTGAAAGAGCCCTGACTTGTCTTGTCTTGCCCGACACCAAAAAGCCCCAGATTTCCCTACTTTTGCACTACAGCGTCCAGACTAATTTTAGCATCAAGTGTTTTTGCAGATATAGCCAGTACCGAGAGCTCATGGATGCCCTCAAGCAAATGGCACATGGGTCAGAATCCACAAATTAAAAAGTCCTCCCAGGGGAGCCTCATACACGCCGCTCTCTCAATAGTATACATTCACAGGCAACAAAGACATAAAAGCTGCACAGCACACTGAACAATGTCGTTAAACACATATTTAAGCATTGTTTGAACATCACAAAAACAGTTGAAAAAAAAAAATCCCGATCATGTGATTCAGCAAATGTTTTACTGAGAAAAAATAAACGTCTCACTTTGAAATTACACAACGTTTGGCTAGTCTCTGGAGACTCATGCAGCTTTTTCAATACAGTGAGATAGATACTGGCAGAGGAATGTTTGCCTGGTAATAGTGTTGTAATAATTTTGAGGGGGGAAAAAATAGAAATGTGAATTAGCAGCTATTTTTGCTCTATTAAAGTTTAACGACAGAGGAAGGATATTTAGATTTCAATTTCTCATACAAATTTATTTATTAGTGAAACATATTAAATGGTGACATATTTAACATTCTAAATATTCCATGTTTTACTTTAATTTTTATATTTAAACTATTTTAAGATGGACAAAAAATACTCTCTCTAAATAATTTCTTTTTGACATTTTTATTTTTTTTCCAAACAAATAAAATGTTCTACTGTAAACAGCAAATGGCTATTGAGATCATTTACAGTTTCTATATTGCATGTGTGCTGTCAGTCTGAGACAATACCAGCCACAAATTCCTATAGCACAAAGCTGTTCTTCCTCATTAGCTGCCACACACGCAGTCAGCTCCTCCCTGTCCACAGTAAAGTGGAGTAGACTATTAAAGGAGAGCTCTGACTGGCTCCTCTCCTCTCAGCTCCGCTCTGCTTTATTCTTTATTTGGACAGGTTTGTCCCATTGAGCACTCTATTAGCTATCCTTCTCTGCGGGTAGTGCTGCCTGTGTCCTGGTTGTGGCCGGTCGACATGTGTTTACTGCGGCCCCTGCTGTGGCGGCAGGCTGGTCGGGGTCCCGTCCTGACCAAGCCCTGCTAATGGGACCAGAAGACCCCTCGTGACAGGGCGCCGCTGTGGTGAGCACCGCAGCAAATTCTACCCCTCCCTCCCCTCCAGCTGCGGCCTCATGGCCCATGTCCCCCTACCCATCATGCCTCGGCGGGAGCAGGTGAACGGCGGAGGGCCAACGCCGGTGAGCTTGGTTTTTCCTGGGAGAGCAGTGCGCCATTGCCACGCGCCTCAGTGGTTCCTCCAACATGGCTCCGGCCCTACGCCACATGGGCTGGCTGGCCATTCTGTGTGTCTGTGTGTTTTTAAGTGTGTGGGTGTGTGTGTGTGTGTGTGTGTGTATGTGGGGGTGTATGGTGGATGCCAGCCCTAATGCAAATGCTTGCCGTTTAAAAAATGGGAGCCTCTCTCCTCCTCTGTCTCTCCTCTTTGGAAAGGTCTATTTTGGCCTTCTGGTGCTGGCAGTTATTTTTTTCCTTTCCAGAAGGACAGAGAGCCAGGAAGATGCACCTGTCATCCATTTTGAAATTCAACATTATTGATCTGGTCATGAGGAATGGAATTTATGATGCTATGTGTCTTTCTAAATGAATACTTATTGATTTGTGCCTTAAAACATACATATTTCTCTTTTGCAAAGTGTTTCTGTGCCTTATTTACGAGCATGCTGATTTGGTGTTTACAGCACAGCAATACACAGAAAAAAATAAACACTCACAGACACTCTCGCACTCTCACCACAAACACACACTTACACACATGCATATACACTAGTCACCGGTGCAACATCCCAGCATGCCCTCTGTCTCTGCACCCCTGTAATTCTACATATTGCTTAAAGTATGTGCTAATTAAATTTTCTGTCGGTTTGCAAGAGAAATAAATAATCTGCAGCTAAAAGGCCTAATTGCGTTTGTCACATTGTGTCTCGGTGGCTGGTACATCGGGAGCACAGCCGCTGCCCTTGCTCATTGCCATTCTGTCGTCCTGGCAAGCCCCTGCGCTGCCCCAGGTATCACCACGCGGCCATCTGGAGCCGACATCTGTCTCTCTATTGATCACAAGGGTTTAGCACTTGATCAAACAGACTGCGACAGGAAATTGCTCTTTTCCCCACAGAAAAGGCCAATCGCCTGCGTGAGGGTAATAGAGTGGAACTGAGATGCAGCACCAGCGCGGTGGGCAGGCGGGCACGGGCACAGCCAGGCAGGCAGGCAGCGGCACGGCGGTGTCAGCCGCTGTGGAGGTGGCTGGGAATGGCACAAGTGCTAAAGTCCACTGCCACGTTACCAAGACCATGTTTAACCTAATCTAACCTTTCTGTTTATGCAACTGCAGCACTTCTAATTTTACAGTAACACAATCTTTCCAAATTGTAATTTACAATCATGCAAATTTTGAGTTTTCCACTCTGAGCACATCGTTGAGAACCATGTGTATGCATGCTGAAGATGAGACCATCTCCTCTGATTAAAAAAACTGTCATTTGAAGAGCAGAATTTGTCTTTCAAGTCATTCAGGTAAATGTCTAAGCCAACAGCTGTCTGAAACGGTTAGAAAAGCTGGATGCAAGTGAAATATGCTACATGATAAGTACACCAGATGGTGGTAAATTAATGTATTTCTTCAGGAAAAAAAAAAAGAAATTTCACCAAAATACTTGAGCATTTACACCAGAGCTGTATTCTGATATTTTAGAAGGCCTTTCGGGCAGTTTTTTATAATAAATAAATACAATATAGGGGAACATTCTTGCAGTGTTTCAAACATTTAAAAAAAGTGTTTAATATGTAACTGAGCATCCGGGTGTAATATTTCAATAGTGGGAAATGCTTGACAAGGCTGCAGTTGTCCCTTGCTTACCAGTATCCCCAGTGGAGTTCAACAGTCTATTAGTGCCTGAGGTGAACAGCTTCTAAATGTGTGTTACAGTATGTTAGCTTAGGCTGTGGTCCACATCTAAAATAGAGGTTTCCCTCTGCTCAGGCATGCTTTCGAGGCACTCACTGTAACACCATGTTTAGCAAGTATGGACAATTTGATACTGAAGGTGACATTTATTCAGCATTGTAGAAAATATTTAATTGTTCCTGCAGAGAGCGAGATATGTTTCCCCTTGCCTACAGTGCTGGGATTGTCCTTTGGAATATGATGCAAATTTGGGATGAAGCAACTAATTCCTTCCTTGCACCCCTGTACACCCCCTCCCTCAATCCTCCGCCAGCCTCCATCCTCCCCAGACACGAGGATTCTGATTAATCGTGTGACCGCCCCTCGTTTTGCATTTTACACAATCTCACGGCGCCACGGTGAGATGTGTGAGGTGTTTTGCCACTTTTGGCAAGCTGAAAAGATGTAGCCCAAGGAAGAACAAGTCGAAAGTATGAGGGAAAAAAATATGACCAGGGGACGTGATAAAAAATTATCAGCCAGTGTGTTTTCCTGTTTGGTTTTAATCTACATTTAATTAAATTCTTATCTGCTGTGTGCTTATGGCTGCATTTGAATGGCGAGGCTGCATTCATTATGAATGGTAAAATTGAACTCAGTACATTGTGTGTGGCCCAATAAAGAAACAAGACTCTTATTGCAGTGCATGCACAAGCTCCGACAGACATGCGGAAAAAATAAGTCAATTAAGATCGGTCTTTAAATTACCGCTGTATCAAAACAAGGGGCGGGAGCATGCTCCATAATAGAATCCTGACAGCGGAGAGAGCACAGTTGACTGTTGTTAATATACATCCCATTTGATACAGCCAATTGTATTAGCCTGTTTATGGAATGCACCCAGTTGATGCACACTAGATTTACTAGTCTGTCATGATAGTTCATAATCGACAGTGCTGGAAAAAAAAAAGTTGACTTCAATGAATATAGAGGTCAAATGACAAAATGGCTGCAGCAGGAGAAAAGGAGTTCCTCATAAAGATCCTGCTGGTTTATTGGAATGTTAGAGGTCAACAGCAAAGGTCAGTGACAGAATATGTAGACAATATGTGGGCCACAGCAGATACTGAAGAGTTAAATCCAAAGAGGCAGAGAGGAGAAAAAGATTCAGCTCCAAAATTGTAATACTATTGACAAAAGACACACAGCTTATAACGCGCGGGCGGCACTTCATAAGCTAAGAACAATATCCCATAGGCAGCACCCCGGAAAACGTCGAAAAAGACCCTGAGCCGATACTACAAAGTTGGGCCCCGGCAAAATCCCTAAATCTTCCCGTTTGCTTATTCGGAGCAGCATGGGGGGAGAGGGAAGCTCCCTGCTGCCTGCCCATGTTTACAGAGCCGTTCTCATCTCTAGGCCTTGCTCATCCACGGCACTGACACACGGTGTCGACATGATTAGGGGTCTGCCTTTGCATAGGGCTGCGTGTGTGTGTGCGGGGGGTGGAGGATCGGCAGATGAATGACTTTGGTGCATCGGAGAGGGATCACAGCAGATAATCGCTCCCGACTGCTGTGCAGGAGCTCTCAGATCTGGTCTTTAAAATAATGTTCGGAGTCAAGTCTCTCCAAAGCTTTTCGCAGGTTATCTTCCACATTTTATGTTTGCTGTTTAAATCTTAACAGGACACAGGCAGCAAGGGAGAGCAAATATGTCTGGAGTCGGAGGAACCCGAGTGGAAATGTTATTGCGAGGGGTGAAGATTAGCTGAAGCAGGGGCTGAGGAGATGAAACTCCTCTCTATTCGAACGGCTTTCATTCCTCGAGGAAAACTTGGAATGCTGAATTTAACCTTGGGAGGCCAGATTCCTGTGAGAAGCGCGGCGGGGATAATGAATCTGACCTCTTGCTAAAACTGACATCACTCAAAGGCATTCACTCAAACACAAGACAAACACCAAATCTACTTAAGTACATTAAATACAGACCACCACTAGCACGCAGACAGTGTGAATACAGTACAACATAAATTCCAGTATCATAAATACTCCTATCACACAAACAGAGGAGCCATAAAGTACGGCTGCCTGTGTCTGGGACTATAAACCTCTGGCGTTACTCATAGGGAATAAACACACATGCACAATTTACTGCACTAGATCCCCCCTTTGTTTATCTTTTAAATAAGCACACTTTATCACCCTCCTGCATAAGCAAATTGCATGCAATGTGTGTTGTTTTAACATTTGATATGCTGTCCAGAAGATTCATTTCTCCCTACGATTTCAATTGTCTTTGCAATATCCTGCTGCCATAGGCATCAGGCCCCATCACCTGTTCGTTATCACTGGCCGTCCTGTTTGGGAGCTCTTGAAACGGTGCCATGGCATTGACTCTCAGTTAACAGCAGGTCTCTGAACTTCTCACGCTTGATAGCGGAGGCTGGAAAATTACGCTAACAACTAATTAACATCATAAAGAGCGTTTAAATGGACGGACGACACCTGCAACCTTCATTTGCACACGCTAACACAAAATTACCTGTGTTTTTATTTTTGCAGATAACGCATGCATTTTTTTAACACCTTTTAGAATATTCATTTTTCCGTGGCTGGCTTTAGAATTGGCACCACTGTCGTTTTCACTATGTACTGTAAAAAAAACAAAAAAACACCAAGCCAAAAATAATAATTGTCAAAACAGAGGGCTGGCAGTATTCCTAAAGCTGTTTTTTCCCCTGTGAGTTTGTATGCAGCTTAAAAAAAGTGCCCTGCTATATGCTGTGCCTGAAATAACACATTCCATTTCTAATTTTTATTTGAATATAAAATATTTCCAGGTGGCAGACATAGACCTCCAGTTACTGGTCCGAATAACAAAGTGCTGCCTGTCAGTCTGAGACACTTTGCTGGCTGGCTGAACTAAGCTGGTTTAGACTGACAAGTCTTCAACGGTGGCAGCCTCAGCTTCCACTGGCAGGCCTCTGGAGTCCTTTCTCGCTCTGGCTCCCAGCCTCACAGTCTTTCACCGCAGATGACCACAGTACAGTCAAGTATCGGTGTTCTTTGAAACCACTCTCTCTGTGTCTTTCCTTTAAAGGTCTGAAACAGCTGCTAACTTCCACAGGACGGTAATGCACTCACACCTCATTACAGAGCCACATTATGGACTACAGCAGTAATGCAGCTTTAATCTTCTCCAAATCGTTATAAATGTCAAGCTGGGGCCAGGGACTTCCCAGTCTACCGCACCAATGGCTTAGCCCGCTATCCCCTCTATTCCGTATTAGCTATAGCCAGAGAATTACATTCACTGCCAGATCCCCTGAAACTTTCAACCCTTTTGTTCCAACATTCAATGCACCATTAACATACCCTTTGAAATTGTCTCCCCCCCGCTCCCAAAAAAAAAAGCCCCAAACAGCTAAATATGAAAACAGTTGATACCCCTACACTGCCACATACACCCCTACACCGCCCGTACCTCCCCCTTCTTTTCCTTAGCCTCTCCTAATGAGACGCAACATCCCTGTCTCTCCACTGAAGGATCCAGACTTTCTGTGTGATAGAGAGACTGCGGCTGTTTATTAATAATGAATTTGGATGTTTGCGTGTGGAATGTTATCAGCGCGCACACAATCCCACCAATAGTTTGCCCTGATGGGGTAGCTGGGTTCCTCATTAGCAGAACATATTTAATCCAGAAGTTTCTTATCAAATGTCACACCTGCATCTCTAAATGGCATTTTCACATTCATTCGCCTGTATTTGGGAGATGAGGCTCCAAGGTGCTTTGCAGAGATTAAGAAGGAGAGAGAGTGCAAGCTTATTTTATCATTTAGCGGGTCTGGAAGGAATCCAAGGAGTTTTTGTCTTGTTGTTGTAATTAGAAAGCCTTTTAAGTGATAACGCCTGCATAGGAATATGAATATGTAGCGATCAGGCCAGCCCCCCCGCCCCCCTTTCCTCCTCATCTCTGTCTCTTTCTCTGTCTCTCTTCCGTTCTCTCTCTCTCTCTGTCTCTCTCTCTCTCTCTCTCTCTCTCTCTCTCTCAGCTTTTTTAAATTGTTGAATGCTGAGTTTTTGTTCTGCGTACAGCAAGGATTAACTCAGAAGCTTCAGAAGTTTAATGAAAGACTTGAAAGTACACACTTTTCCTTGTTTCTGGCTGTGACAATGTTTCTTTTTCCTGTGCGAGAGCGGACATGACATGAGTACAACTTTTTTATACCTGAAGCATAAAGGATGGACTTCACTTTCCTTAAGGAGACATATCAGCAGCAGTACAAGACAAATCCAAATTTACAATAATAAAACAAAAACTATATACATATACATTATATTTATTTGTTTTGACAGATATCTGAAATTAAAAGAACTGTCTAATAAAATATAGTACTGGTAGATTTTCAGCCTTCACTGAGCCCAGGAATCCATTTCAAACCAGTGGAGAATTAAACATTTCCTGCACAAAAGCTCAAATATTTATCATTTCCTGTTACAATACTCCTCTCCAGTTGTAGAAAATGGAGCAGGTATGCAGCCCCCCTCTCAGTAGTGGCATTTAGTCTGTGTATATCCAGAGAAGCTGCTGCTAAC